CAGAAGTCCAACTGTTCCCCAAAACGTAAAGGGCAGCAAGTAGATAAATACTAGGTATTTGAAAGACCTTATACACAAAGGTTAAACAACTGTGTCTGGATCATATAGTCTGTCCATATCTGCATGTCAAAGTGTAGGAATGGGTTATGCAGCCCCATGATACTTGGGTTAACCAGATGTTTCAGATCCTAAAGCTAGCATCCATGTTAGAATAACAGAACTTTCAGAGGTGGGTGGTGAATAGTTAAACATTTGCCTGAGATCAGCAGGCAACCTGTCTGGCTGTACAAAAGCTTAGACAAAGGGCTGAGATGAACATCTTTCCTCTCCTGCCTCCCATGAGACATTCTCCTGGGAATTCTTGGGGAAGTTTGGCTGGAAGCTTGCCAGAGAAATACACACTATCCACAGATATAGTCAAGTAGATTTCAGTAGAGAATACTATTTCCAAAATAGTGTTTAGGTCATCTAGCAGGACGTGTTTATGTACACATTTGCATATACCCACAGGGGATTATAAGCTAATTTTTATAGACACAGAATTCTATTCAATACTGTTAAATATGCGATTAGTTTAATCTCTTTTGTTGTTGTTTGGGAAATTATGACATTCCAAGTTGACTTTTTTTTTTATCTGAATTAAAAATTGAAACCCTCAGCACACTCTTGTCCCTATAACTAGGATCATATCACCCTCTATCTCCTTTCTTCCTTCTGCTTTGTGTTCGGGTGCCCTTCATTTAATTGCCTTACTGGCCAGCTGATGGCAGGTAAGTGTGAGTGTAGGTTAGGGGTCTTCACATGAGACAGTTGTACATCTTCCTGTACAGTCTCAGTTGAATCTTCCTATCCAGCTTTTGGGGACAGCATACACTTCTTCCCCAGCTCAGTACTGGGTGAACATTACCTTCTGAGGTGGTCACCTCACAGAAGGAACATGGTTGGTCACTAAAGGAGCCAGGCTCTGCTGTCAAACTATAGGCCTTTTGTTGTGTCGTATTTTTGTTTTTAAATAAAACTATAATATAAATTTTGCTATTAAATAAGATTATTTTAAGTTGTAGTGTCAAAAATGCAATGCCAATAGTAGGTGATATTGTATTTCACAAGAGTTTGAGATGGTAAGGTGGTGACATTTAACACAATTACTTTCTGCCTCTTCAGATTATGGTTATTTATCCTCTATTAGTATCATATCTTCTGTTCATTCCACTTTAGGAAACACAGTTATCAATTAAAAGTAGAGAGAGAGAAAGAGAGCGATAATAAGTTCCAGTGTCTGCCCCCACCTCACACATACCAATGCTTTGGCCAGGTGTTTGATAGACCAGCAAGGCAGGAAGACAGTTCAGGCAATGGATGTCAAGTTTCCTTGTGATTGGTTTCATTCCCTTGTAGCTTTCCCCTGTGCTCACAGGGAACAGAAGGGACACCCCTTTTCATGGTGTGCAGCAGAAGGAGCTGAGGTCAGCAAGCCAGTGGTTCTTAAGGATTGAGTCTCCAACTTACTGTTTGGAGTTCTTTATTTCAACCTCAGTGTCTCCTTAACATCACCCCTGCTCAAGTGCCCTCCTATATGTACACCCCAGTGTCTCTTCCAAGAGGTCTTTGGTCAGTCTCAATCCCTGTGTAATCACTTCATTCCTAGAGGGAGACACGAGGTTAGGCCTGAGTATGAGGCACACACCTGACGTTAACCTGAAGATAAAACGAATTGGCAGAACCATACCCCAGTTGGCTGTTGAGGCCTTGGCAAGATGTCCTGGGCAAGGAGGGGTCATTTGTAAAGTCACATATCGGAGGCCCGTATTTGAGCTTTCTATAAGCTATAGCTTTGTTTATTTCACCTGTTCACTTACTGTATAATTTAAAGTCATTTATGTAGCTGAGACACTTTGATATCTCAAGCATATTGTGAATGTCTTATTTTGCTAAATCATGTGTCATGTGTAGGCTGTCATATGTACACTGTGTCTAAGAGAAGAAAAAAAAAGAAAAAGAAACCCACATGTCATTTTTCTGATTCAAATTCTACAGTAGAATGAAGGGTAGAATACTGGGACTCAAGCACCAGCTAGACTGAAGATTAAAGGAAACAGAAGGTACCAGAAACAGACTCCTCCAGACTCCTTCCCATGGAATCCTAAGGGTGAGAAGGAGAAGTAACAAAAACAAAACAAAAACTACACTGATGTCCTTGTTCTTTATCAACTATCTCTGGGTCATCTGCCACCCACTTCCGGAGACCTATTTTCTACTCAACCAGGAAGCCATGGTTTCTGAAAAGTCCAGGGCCATAACAACTGTGACTCCAAGTTCTCTCTCTGTCTCATCCAGGCATCTTTTCTGCCTCCCAACCAAGAAATTCCTATGTACAAGCTTTTGCTTCCCAGACTCTGCTCTAGCCAGGGTGTGAGCTTAAAGAGACTCAGGTGCCTACCTTCTCCAGCCCTAGCCCTGCCATACAAATACTGTTTCATGCCATGCTTCTTAAACAATAAAGGACACAGTGCTTGGCGGTAGATCTGTCTAGGAGATAATGTGGGTTCAGGAAGCATTACTCTTCCCTGCATTGCACCAAGGTGGCATTTAGGTGGTTTGTTCCCACTACTTAAAAATATTACCCTGGTATTTGTATCAGAGAGAAACTTAAAAAAATGTAATGGCAGAAGCTCAATGTAATGGGAGAAGGCAGGAGAGAGGTGTCAATAGATCTAAGTTGGCTGTTTGGGCTGAGTAGGAAAGGATCCAAGAAAATAAACATGCTCTGGGGACATGGGTACCTTAGATTCTCTGTCTACTTTTTCTCTAGTAAGTCAGCTGTGCTGAAGCCCAGTAGTGATGAAGAGAAACCAACCAGAGAAAACTCCATGTAGAAGGAATGTATTTGTTGCTAAATTTTGTAGCACGGTTTATAGTTTTCCTCCATGTTATTTATGAATTTTATATTCCGTGAATGTATATTGTCTTGTAATGTTGCATAATGTTCACTTTTATAGTGTGTCCTTTATTCTAAACAGTAAAGTGGTTTTATTTCTATCACATACCTGCCGTCTCTTGCCTTCTTGTGTCCTGTCTTGGAGGGCTTGCCAGCAGATTCTGCCTGTTTTCCTCTGATCCCTACACACACCCTCCTTTGGCTCGTGGCTACAGTCTGTGACACCTCAATTAAGCCCTTTTTTGCAATAGAGATTTCAGGAGAGGTATCCTTAGCTCTTTATGCCCGCTAATCCAGCCCTAACTTCACTTGCTCATTCTACTGGGGTTCAGGAGATCTCTATCAAATCACTGGTGGGTGGTATATGCCTGAGACCTGTCTCATATTTCCTTATTCTTCCTGAGGATCCCATGATGGAAGAGGAGTACAAGCTTCTAGGCAGCCATACTTGATGTCAATGGTCTAAATGAAATCCTGGGTGAAGCTCCTAGTTAGGAATGGCAGGAATTTCCGAGACCCTGGGACAACTAGTAAGCTCCTCCCAGAACTCAATGATACACTCCACTGCTCCCCACCCACCTAACAGTGAGTCCTCCCTTGCCAGTGTTCCAGTCATGGCCTTTGTCCCCATTTGAAAGGTCCTCCACTCTGAGTACCCACCATATGTCAGGCACTACATTATACACCCACTTACACAGACTCTCAGCCTGTTATGGCCCTACCACTTTCAAGGAAATTCTTGCCTAAAATCTAATTAGTAGACTGGGCTGCAATTAATAATTAACTACTTTGAAGACAAATCCTGAATTTTCTTAGAATATTTAGACGTTTTATGTTAGTCTGATTTTGTCATTGTTGTTACCAAATACCAGAAAGAAAAAAATTAAGGTGGAGATAATTTATTTTGTTTGGGATCCTGGTTTCAGAGACTTTATTTAGTTCACTGTGCCCAGGAAATTGTGGGAGGACCAGCAGCTTTCATCATGGTAGACTAAAAAAGAATGCTTGAGCTCCAACCTTCCTCCATTTTCTTTTATCCCATCCTGGCCCTTGACTTCACAGATGGTGCTAAAAGCCCCTCATTCCAAGTGGGTCTTTGCTGGCTCTGGAAATATCTCTGCAAAGGCCTGACAGACACCTAGGAAGTTCATTACTAATCTGGGTGCTTTATCCATGTCAACTTGATAATTCAGATTTACCTATACCTATACAGCAATCAGATACCCTGGATGCTGTGACTGATGGGTAGGTACAATAAATAGACAATCCATGAGTGCCTCTGCCTGGCTAGGTTGTTTCCTTCAAACAGGCCCTGTCCAGCTCAGCAGCCAGAGCCTAGGATTCTACAATCAGACCACAGTCCCTAGCTAGGGTAATTACACCCCACTCTCGTTCCCCAAGACCTCTATTCCCTTAAAGAACAAATGTACTGACCATGAGCAATCAAATGCAGGCATGCTGTAGGCTGATTCCAGCAGCTCAGAACTCTTCTATCAGAATTCTAGTGTGGACTCAGAACTCTCCAACCCACTCAGACAGATATTAGGCCTAAACCTTCCAAATAGCTAGTGAAGCTTGGGTCCAGGTGACTCCAAGAGATTATACAGGTACATGCTAAAGAAAGGAAATCAAACACGTAAGCACACTGCTCTTTAAGAATCAGCTCAAATAAAAGATCACAGCTTTTATTAAAATTACAGTGGAAACCAAGTCCCAGAAGAAGTATACTGGAGATAACATTTTACCATAAAAATAGTTTTCCCCTTTATGGTCAACCTCTGGTTCTAGCACACCAGCTCAAGATGTCCCTTGATATGTTAGTAATTAACAAGGTTTCACAGAATACCAAGTACCTATGTCACTTACCCTATTGCCTGAATTTCCCCTAGGAAAGTTGAACCTCCCTCAAGAAACACCAGATATTCCCACAAGCACATGAAGGCTCCTCTGTGGAGTCCAGATAACCAGGAAGCAAGATGTGAGATACCCAGAGAAACTCAGGAGATAGACATGTAAAGTCATCGTGCATCATGGAGATAAGCAGAGCTAAAAAGGTACTCACCATTGGCTTGTGGTTGGGAAAAAATGTTTGCTCCACTAGTGGAAACTTCTCAGGACCCAAGGAATGGAAGATCTTAATGAGCTGAGAGAACTGGGAGAGAAAAGGAGAGATCATTAGCCAGCTAGGGTTTCCAACCAGAATCCTGGCTTGTACTTGACCCTGGCTGTCAAGTGTCTGTCATGTGCTAAGTTCCAGAAGCTGTGGTCCACCACTAGGATCAAAAGCCATCTTCCGTGGCTAGGTATCACTCTCTTTTTTAACCCCTTGTGCCTTCCTCTAACCTAGAAGGTTGGCAAGTCACTGGCTTCAGTTCAACATTTTACAAGCACTTAACTGCATTCTCGGTCATTTCACACAAGGTCCTTGCCCCCCAGTACAATTTTCTAGGAATCCTGCTATCCCTCTGCCTGCAATGTCTATCTTTCTAGGACAGCACTGTAGGCACTTCATGATGTTCCCTCTGAGTCCAGACTCTATTATTCAAATTTACTGTTACTAACTATCTACGAGACCTGGAGGGGCAGGGGTCACTGTAGGTTTCTGAATGTCAGTTTCTTAAATTGTACATTACAAGGCTGAGATGCTAAGGTAGTGCTGCTAGGAAGCATGAGGAATTTGGGAACAGAAGAGAGTGGGGGCCATCAGGAAGACTCCCTGGACCTATCCCATAAAAAGAAGAAGGATATTCTGTGTGTTCAAAGAGACCACTGTTTCTGAAGGCCTTCAGTAGCTGCCGTGGTTATGGGCTCAGGTGCAGGGGATAGTGAGGAAGTAAGCAAAGGGTGATCTATTATATGTCATCATGAGCTTTAAAAGGCTGGATCAAGAATGTTATTCACTCAGAAGGCAAAGGAGAATTACAGATGGATACCAGAAGAACTTGGACCTGGTTGGTACCTGGTAGCTAGAAGAAAAGCCATATTTGGTGCCAGCCAAATACTAAGATCTTGGACAGACAAGGAAGCTAAGGAAATTCCTATTCTACAATGGATTCCTGTGTTCTCTTGGGGAACAGCTCACATGTGCAGCACAGCACAGAGTCATTTTAAAGGGTGTGGAGAACCTGAGAAATAAAAGAAATGATGTTTGGGGGTGTCCCTCATTTTATAGATGAGAAAACTAGAGTTCAGGGAGGGAGTGTAACTCATAGCTAAACTGGTCGGTTATGGAGAAGAGCTGTAGCAGTTTCCTTTTATGTACAGTGGAGATTCCTACTTTTTGGGGCTGAGCACATGACATAGCTAATAAAGTTGCTGCTGTCAAAACTATGGACAGTTTCCTTTTCATGGCACTCAAATCTTAGATTCCATTAGTCTTACGACACCAGGATACCACAGGCAGGATGACAACAAACAAGCCTATTAACATATATTGAACTAATATAAATAGTCATTCAACAAATAATGAGCGCCATCCCAATACAGACTTAGTCCATGTGTAAGAGGCAAGAATTATTATTTCTTGTGAGTATGCTGTGTAGCATCCACGATTACAAACACTTTACATGCCCCAACTGAAAACCAGGAAGGCCCTATTATTATCATCCTTTTCTAAATAAGGATGCAAAGTTCAGAGAGTTTAATGCAATGGCTCTCGGGCACACATTATGTGGAGAAACTTGGCCTTGGGCAATCTAGCTCCAGACTAATCAATGCCCTTCTCTCCCAGATAATGACAGACAGGCAGCCAAACAGGGTGGACCAATGATTTCATAGCATTTCTCCACACCTATAAGCCTCATTTGTCGCTCTCCAGGTATGCATCATAGGACAGATGACATAGTTGTCATATTTGTTAATAGACTGTTCCACTAGAATGGGAGATTAAGTGGCAGGCACTCTGGTATTATCACTGTATGTGTCTTTGTCTATGCTGCTCTCATATTGCGAGAGAGATGACAGATAAAGGAATGTCATTTAGGTGCAGATCCATGTGTCTGTGTCGGGTAACCAAGTGGACTTAGGGCCCTGAGAGTATCTGAGAGAATGGAGGAGGGCTAGTATTTTAGGAAGACCCTTTGTTTTTGATGACATGTGAATGGAAATGTGAGAAATGAAATGAGTGGTGGAGACTACTGAGTCAATGGGGAGAAAGCAAGTGTGAAAGCTGGAGAAAGAGGGCTTCAAAGTTTGGTTTCACCATTCATTAACTGTAAGGTCCCAGAGAGTTCCTATCTGGCCTGAAATTAAGCCTTCTTCTCTGTATAACAGAAGGATGATGCCATCTTCAACTACAGTAATAGCATGGGTACCTGTAGCAGTTTTCTGATAGTCAATAAATGTTTAGTAACTTTGAAGAAAAACTGTAAGAAAATTACACTAGGATATTAAAAACAGCAATATATGTTTGTTTTTGTTTGAATCAGGGTCTCACATAGTAGCCTGGGCTTCCTTAGAGCTCTTACTACATAGCCAAGGATTACCTTGCTTGATCCTCCTGCCTCCATCTAGTAAGTACTGGGATTATAGGTAACAGTACTGGTTTATGAAGCACTGGAGACTGAGCCCAGGACTCTACCAAGAGAGCTATACTTCATCAAGATTAGTGTTCCTATAACACAATCCTGTATCATAATGTGTTATACATAATATTTGTGAGGCTGCAATTCCCAAAAGAGACCTGGGGTCAATTTGCTTGTTCAGTTGTTTAAATAAGATTCTCCTCCCTGCTGAGGCTCTGTGTTGGGAAATGGAGCCATTTACAGGGTGGGAGACCACCTCATGCTTTCCAGTTCCCTTTAGGTGGGCTAGTCTGTCACCTACCACCCAGGGCTTGCTGCAGAAGTTGTATACAGAGTATAGAGAGTTGACAGCAGGAAGCCCTCCATACTGGAGGCCGATGACCAGGCTGCGGTAGTCTTCAGCCAGAGCCATGCTGTAGGCATGTTGTCGGACCAGGATGAAGTCCGGTTTGAATGACCTGCCAAGAGAAGGAACAACAGTGATAGCACCACATGGCAGTATAACCATGGCTTGCTGGTCATAGCCCTGACCCTATGTGACTCCTACCCATAGGAGCTCTCAGCTGAAAGAGCAGGGTAGTAGAGGGGATGGAGAAGACTAGGTACAACTCACAGCTACCCAGCTACAAACCAAGTAAACTAAAAAGAACAGATACTTTCTTGTGTTTGGGTTTTAGGCTGTTTCCTAAATTGCCAATATATTTATAACCAGGAAAATTGTCTCAGATGACTAAGCAATGGAATAACTTTTTGCTAGGTTCTGATCAACATACAGAATATATGCCTTCCTTTCTGTATGGATGCTGTCAGCTCCCATTTCTCAGAGGTACATCCTAAAACTTGGGAAAATTCATAATTTGCTCAAATAGAATGTTGCAGGGAATGGAAGGGTTAAGTCTATAGCTGTCAACTGTCTGGTGTCTGGACTTCCTCCTTGTAGGTTTCCAATCAAACTGGCCTTGTACCTTCTAAACAGCAGCCCCTGGAAAGTGGCAAACTCCAAGTGCACACAGGTTCTCTGCTAGGCCTCTCTGGAGAAAGGGTCCTGGTAAATGCTTGACAACAGGGTTCAGGGAGGGTGGTGCTTCCCCACTTTATATGTAGGAAGATTGCAGTTGTGAGAAATTAACTTCCCCCAAACACAAAGCTGGTGTACAAGATAGTTACCTTTGGTTCAAGCCCTTATGCTTTTTACCCTACACCCTGGATTCTGGCAGATTTACAGTGTTCCATTCACACTGTCAAAGGCCAACTTATTTTAAGGCTCCTTACTTTTAAGACACACAGGAAAAACAGGCTCACAGTGGACAGAGGGTTGACACTCAACACAGCACCACTGATCTGCCTGTCTCATCTAAAGTCATATCCTTAACTTCACAGAAATTTGTCTCTTTAAAATAATTCAAACGTAAGCTAAAATAACTCTCAGAGAAGGACTCGCTCCCACTGAGGACAGACAAAAAGAACGTGCACAGTGTAGATGTGTCTCAGGTCATGTTGACCTTGGTTCTAGATGGATGCCCTGTTGTTTGACTCCCCCAGGGCAGGTATGTGAAGGTTAGGTGTGGTGGGGATGCCTGTGAACATCACCTCTCCCTCCTGTCAAAGCAAATGCGTCTTCTCCATTAAATGGTGACTCATCTCCACTGACCACTTAGACCAGATTATGGCCTGTCGAATAACTCACAATTTGTTTATAGGCATGGTCAGCCTTAGTGTAGAAAAGCTGAAGTTAGACTCTTGGAATGAGAGCAACTGAGATGGAAGAATGTAGGAGGCATTTGATGGCAATCAGAAGCACTTACTTGCAACAGAATTGTTTTCTACTTTTATGATTTACCAAAAAACCCATGGAATGTACAAGGAAGTAAACAAATTGCAGGAGACTTTACAAAGTGCAGAGAAAATGCCTAACAATCTTTATATACACATTTTGATCCAACTATGCATTTTACTATATACAGCATGCATCATACACATAATTGATTTCATGCTTTCTATCAGTTATGATTCTAAGATTTTCTACATAATGCAATGATATGAATAGTTCCTCTATGACCAAAATAACCTCAAAAACACATTTATTTCTTTTTCCTTTCTTCCTCCCCTCCCCTTTTTTCTCCTTCCTCCCCTAGCTCCTCTTTTTCCATCCCCACTCCTTTTTTCTTTTCCTTTTCTTCTTCTTCCTCCTCTTCCTGCTTCTCTATTTCCTTTTCTTCCCATTCCTCTTTTTAATCACTGCTGGGAATCATATTTGGGACCTTGCACATTCTAGGAAGCACTCTGCTTTCTTCCTTTGGTAATTCCCTCACACTGCCCATAAAGGATACCCCCCAACCCTGCATGCACATATGTACACACACACACACATACACACACACACACACACACAGGGCAGTTTCAAGGTTCATTTTCCCAATTTCCATATCACGGGGAATTTTATTTTATTGTTCTTTTTGTTGTTCTTTTCAGTACAGGGGACTAAATCGAGAACCAGTACATGCACTAGTATTGATGTATTACACTTTTTTTTTTCTTTTGAGACATCATCTCATTAAGTTGCCCAGGCAAGTCTTGAACTCCCTCTGTAAGCTAGGCTGGTCTTGAACTTGTTCTTTCTGCCTTAATCTCTCAAGTAGCTAGTGTTACTGGCCTGTAAACAATGAGTGTTTCAATTTGATGAGTCATCCCCCAAAAGATACCCTGCATGTCTCTGTTATTTGACTTTTATTTTTAAAAATTAATCATTTGCTTTGTCTTTTTTTTTTTTTTTTTTAGTTTTCTAGGTCATTGTTACTGTAATTTTTTTCTTTTTTTAATTATTTTTATTAATTACAATTTATTTATTTTCTATCCCAGCTGTAGCCCCCTCTCCCATCTCCTCATAATCCCACCTTCCCTCCTTCTCCTATGTCCCTCCCCCAGTCCAATGATAGGGTAGGTCCTCTTTCTCTTCCATTTGACCTTATCCTTACCATTCCACAGAGGAAGACAAAGAAACCAGTTCTGATGAGCGCTAATAGGCTTTGTCTTTCTTTTATGACTCTGCTCACATCTTTGCCCATGTTGAAAAACAACAACAACAACTGTGGTTCTCCACTTTGCTCTCTCATACAGCAGCACGTTAGGAGCACTGCCTTTGCCCCATTGAGGGTGGTAATGTCTTTACTAGGTGCATCTTTTAAAAAGGCATGTAAATGTGTTAGGCCCACACTTGCTCTGGCTTAGTTTTACAGCTGTTGCCTTTCACTTATTCTCTCCATTTTGCTGCTTAGAGGGTTCAGACACTTAGTCAGAATCCCCTCCTGGACAGGTGGTCTACATTGCAAAGAAGAATGGCAGTGAATTCAGTTTCTTGCAAGGGGTAAAGCCTCTTTGAGGAAGCAGAGGTCTCAGGTGGCTATTTACTCTCCTAGCTTTGTTTAGATGTGTGAAAAATTCATAACAGAGACATTAATAAAAAATATGAAACTTCATAAGAAAAGCAATTTTCTCTGCTTAGGAAGAGAGTGTCCAGACAAGCTTCCAAGAATAGAATAGTGTTTAATTTTTTTAAATTTTTATTCCTAATTATGTGTCTGCGGGGAGAGGAATGGAGACGAGCTAAGTATATGGCTACAGTGCTCACAGAGGCTAGAAGAGGACATTAATGAGAGTATGCATAAGTAGGAATGAATAAACAATATACATGAGAAGGAATGGCCATTGTGAAGGGGAGGGAGTTCTTTACTTGTAGTCACAGGGAAGAAACGAAGTCTGATGGTCAGAGTATCCAGGCAATAGTATGTGACCCTGGTAACTATGGGGTTGCTTTACAGTGATACATGTTCAGTATTTATGGAGGACTATCAGCAACGACAAGAAAATTTTAACCCCAAGGAACTCAAGTTGATCTCCTGTGTGCGAAGTTATTTTCACATTCAGTGTGTGAATGAGAACTGGCTAGGCATGTGTTACAATCTATAGACATAGTCACTGCCTCATAGAATGCACAGGCTCTTCTATGACAGAGCTCTGAGGAATGTAGACAGATTAATGACCAGTAGCAAGTAGCTGCTTCCTTTGAACCCATATTCTGATTTCTCTATGCAGCTAGAGAATGACCACATTCTCCACATCTTCCAAACATCCATGCCTCTGGTCCCCAGATATTTCCAAGCACTATAACATAGACTGAAGATGTCAAGATGATGTGAACAAGATCTCTGCTATTATAGAACTGGCAACCCGGAGGAGTCTAGAGCCACGTGTATGAAGGAGATACTAAACAAATATCAAACACATTTGTGTTTATTCAATAACTATGTTGGCCCTAGTCACGATAGCCAAGTTATAGAATCAGCCTAGGTGCCTATCAACAAATAAATACATAAAGAAGTGGAGTTTTAGTCAGCAATAAACCAGAACAAAATTACATTATTTGTAGGAACATGGATACAACCAGAAATCATTATGTTATGCAAAATAAGTCAGACTCAGAAGGACCATATACTTTCTTTAATTTGGGGAGCATAGATTTAATCAACCATATATTTTCTTTAATTTGGGGAGCATAGATTTTATATAATCATAAGACATAGGAAAGTCGAAACAAGGTTGCCTGGTTTGTGGAAAATGAATGTGATTAATGGAAAGGGGAAGTAAGAAGAGTAAGTGACTATAGTAAAACTATATGAATGTCTTGTTGAAGAAATGCCTGTGACCTCTTCTGATTCTTACATCCAATGTGTGTGTGTGTGTGTATATATATATATATATATATATATATATATATATATATATATATACATACAACATACATATATATGTTGTATATATATATATATATACAACAAATATATATAAAATTTTTTTTTAAAAGTAAGCAAATGAAGTGACAAAATATGGATGAAATGCTCATGTGGCCTAAGATATTCAGTTCTACCTGGGGCAGATCTGGGTGGATGTTTATAGAAAGTCTTAAGTCTTTGAAAAGAAGTAGAGCTTCTTCATGGACAGTGATTTAAAGTTTCTCCAAGGAGCAAGAAGAATATCGTGGATTTTTATTTTATCTACCAATATCTTTTTTTTTCTTTCTTTTTTCTTTTTTTTTTTTTTTTTTGGCAGGCAGAACTCATGATCAAATTCCCTCCCATTAGCAAACTGTTGTGTTACTGTGGCAGAAACTGGTCTGAATATTGGGACCCCTAAGAAATGGCCTCATCAGACTCTGGAGTTGCTGTCCAGGAAGTGTAGTTTGGAAAAGGAGTTGTCATATAAGAAGTTAGTGGATGGAGACCGTTTTTTTTTTTATATATATACCTGTAAGAATCCCATTTGCTGCAAAATAGATGCTCTTATAGTCTTATAGGGACAGAAATAAAACTCCTGCCTGTGACTGCCTAGTACCTGACATCCACAGAGCCTGGCTTACAGTCACCTTCATCTTCTTAGCTAAATGAGCCATGAGGTCTCCTTT